CTGGCTTTCTTTGCTTTATGTTTAAAAACCACCTATGAATGAGTACATGTGATCATTGTCTTTCTGTGTCTGGGTTACCTCACTCAAAATAATGTTTTCTAGCCCTCCCCATTTTCCTGCAAAATTCAAGCTGTCATTATTTTTTTCTGCTGTGTAGTACTTCATTGTGTAAATGTACCATATTTTCCTTATCCAAATTCAGTCGAGGGGCATTTAGGTTGTTTCCAGGTTCTGGCTATGACAAACAGAGCTGCTATGAACATAGTTGAGCACATGTCCTTGTGGCACGATTGAGCGTCCTTTGGATATATACCCAAAAGTGGTATTACTGGGTCTTGAGAAAGGTTGTTTCCCAATTTTCTGAGAAATCGCTACACTGACATCCAAAGGGGTTGTACCAGCTTGCATTCCCACCAGCAATGCAGAAGTGTTCCCTTTTCCCCACAACCTCTCTAGCATAAGTTGTCATCAGTGTTTTTGATCTTAGCCATTTTTACAGATGTAAGATAGAATCTCAGAGTTGATTTGATTTGCATTTCTCTGATGACTAAGGATGTTGAACATTTTCTTAAGTGTCTTTCAGCCATTTTAGATTCCTCTGTTGAGAGTTCTCTGTTTAGGTCTGTACTCCATTTTTTTTTTTAAATTGAATTATGTGTTCTTCTGGTGACCAATTTCTTGAGTTCTTTGTATATTTTGGAGATCAGACCTCTGTCTGATGTGGGGTTAGTGAAGATCTTTTCCCATTCTGTAGGCTGTAGTTTTGTCTTGTTGATCGTGTCCTTTGCTTTACAGAAGCTTTTCAGTTTCAGGAGGCCCCATTTATTAATTGTTTCTCCCAGTGTCTATGCTGGTGGGGTTATATTTAGGAAGTGGTCTCCTGTGCCAATGCGTTCAAGGAGCACTTGAACTTTTGTAGAGTTAAAGTATCTTTGTATTGTTTTGAGTAGAGCAGTAACATTTGACTCCTGATTTAATAAGATTGCTCTGCTTTCTCCTTACTGAAACTGAAAGGATTCAAGAATGGAAAGCAAAGGGATCTGCTAGGAGGCTCCTGTAATAATCCAGGCAAGAAGGATAGCCTCTTAAATGTGGCTGGTTACAGTATTATTTAGGAGGTTAGTCTAATGGCATTCCTAATCAGTGGACTATGGAGTCTAAGAGTAGAGGAGTCAGGGGTGACTCCAGTAAGTTAGTATAGTAAATTGAAAGGTAAGACTTAGTATTCACTCAAAGGAAGATGCCATTTTATTTTGTCTGGAACCCTGAAAATGTGGGACAATAATATTAATTTTAATTTGATAAAAATAAATATATAAATAAATATAGCATCTGAAGGAGAAATCATTTTAGTGCTTGATCTTCCCCCAAAAGCTGTGAGCCTCTGTTGTGAAGGAACACTTGCTGAATCCAGTGACAGATGATTAGCTCTTCTCATTTTCATCCTGAGCATCTCAGGAAGAAAGTGTGTGAGCTGCATAAAGTGTTTTAGTTACCTCCCTTGATACTATATTAAAGTCTTTTCTCACAGAGGGGCCTATTGTCCTTTTCTTTTTTGTCCTTTTTTTCAGAGTTGTCTTCTCTAGGTATCTTAAAGTGTGAGGAGCATTTGTGAAATTCCTCTAGATGCTGCATACTGTTACATTTTAGTTAGTGTACTTTTTATTAGATAATCAAGACTAAATTATTATACCTTAATTTCTCTATTCTCCTCTTGCCAAGAATTGAAAAAGTATGGGTTCGAGATGGAGCTGCATACTTTTATGGCCCCATCTTCATTCATCCAGAAGAAACAGAACATGAGCCCACAAAAATGTTCTACAAAAAAGAAGTGTTTCTGAGTAATCTGGAAGAAACCTGCCCCATGAGTTGTATTCTAGGTAAGTATTTGTCATTTTTCATCACAGTTGTTCTGCAAAACATTGATTAAACATTACTGTTCTACAAGGCACTCTTCTTGGCATTGGGTCTATTGCAGTATAAAAATACGAAAGTCTTTGCTTTCATAAAGACATTGGAACAAAGGCTGGGGAGTCAATAAATAAATAACAGAACACCAAGTGGTAATTAGAGTTTTAAATGAAAATAAAACAAAGAAGATTAACAATAATGTTGAGGCAAGGTCATGTGATTGGTCATAATTTTGCTGATAGATGCTATGTGAATTGACCCTAGTATGGTTTAAAAATAAAAGAGAATTATCTGAGGCTCTCTTCTGGGTACAGCAAATGCCTTGGCTTAGATTATCTGTTTGTGTGTGAGACCTAAAAGGGTTGGGTAACTAGGGCATAGGGAGGGGATGTGGTGTAAGGAATACACCCTCAGAGTTTTCTCAATACTCACGTAGTAGATCTTGTAGACAGTGCAATGAATGGACTTGAAAGGAAATGGTCGGAATGAACAGAACTGTGGTGTGTGGTGACACACATACTTAGAGGTAAGAATCATTGTGGCAGTGTGTGAACACTGTTATAAGAGTAAAGTAGGAGATAGGGAGACTAGTCTAATGATTCATTTCCGTTAGATTCTTAAACTTGATCATTTTATTTCCTCCATTCCAAACTACTGTCTTGATTTCTGTTTGGTCATCTACCAAGTATTCCCAAGGGTATTTGATAGGCTTCCTGTAGCCTGACAATAGGTTTCTCCACCAACACATTAAGTCAGATCAAGCTGAATTAAAAAGTAAAAGACCAGGTATATTTGAGCAAAGCAACTCCTGGGTGAGTTCTCCAGCCCCCAGAGATTGGGGGTGGGACTCCACAAGAGGGGTTTGTGCCACTCTGGGCAGGGATTGGAGAGCTGGCAGCCTCAGGGGAGGAGCTACCAATTGACAGTTTTTCTGAGAGGGCAGGGTTTAGAGAGGGAAGAATGGCTGCTTCAACAGGGGTGAGCTGGAGATTCTAGCCAAACAGTATTGTTTCTTAGATCTAGTTGTATGTCTCATCATAGGTTAACAGTGTTGCCAGCTGTTGTGTTTCTCCATGCCCTGAGAGCCACTAGATCATATACTAACTTTGTATATTCCCTTGAGATGGCTTCCTAAAAGATTCCTAGTAATAAGCTTTACAATGATGGTTAATATTTTGCAGATTCCCCCACCAATGCTCCTCGTTAGAGGCTGAACCAGGGCCTTGTGCTTGCTAAGGCACACACTCTACCATTAACCTGCATAGCTACAAACAGTTTCTTATTTATTGTTCATGGTTTTAAAGAAGCCTCCATGGATCTCAAACAAAAAGGAATTTGCAGAGTCAAACATATGTTAGTTTTTATTTGATGATATGTTAGCTAAATTGTTTGGGTGCTTAAAATTATTTTCAGAATTAGATATGGCAACACTGTTGAGTTATTCAATACATTTTCAACTTTCTGTCATGAGGAAAGTGAACTAAGACCAGTAAAGTCATTAAACTTTACCTTTCTATAGCAGGAAATATCTTCCTTTTAAAGTCTGATCCAGACTAAAGTCGTTTTCTAGTGTAAGCCCAACAAGATTAAAAAGAAGCATTCTAAAAGTGAGGCTGAAGTGTCCTCTTGCTAGGGAAGCTGTATAATTTATTGGGTTAATTTTTATTTAATTTTAATTTTGGTACAACTTTTCATATGACTTTTACCTTTTCTTTGACAGAGGTGAAAGCCATGGCCCCTCAGTAGAACCCAAAGAACATTGCCTCTAGCAATAAATTCCTAGGAGCATAGGAGACTACAGAAGTATAGCTCATCACAAATAATATATACTGCTGCTCCAGGAACAATATTGAGGTTTTTTGTTTTTGTTTTGAAGAGCACGAGGAGGGGGCTCTCACATAGTTATGACTGTCCTGGAACTCAACTATGTAGAACAGGCTGGCCTGAAACTCACAGAGGTCCATCTCCCTCTATCTTCCAAGTGTGCACCTCAATGCCTGGCTCAACCTAGCTCACTCCTTTTTTTTTTTTTTTTTTTTTTAAGAGAGATAATGTCTCACAATGAAGCCCTGAATGGCCTGTAACTCGATATGTAGACCAGGCTTGCCTGAAACTTAGATCTCCTGACCGTTACAGATGGTTATCAGCCAGCATGTGAGTGCTAGGAACCAAACCTGGGTCTTTTGCAAGACAGCAGCCAGTGCTCTTCTGCTGAGCCGTCTCACCACCACTACAAACTCATTCTCGAGTTTTGTTTTTTTATTTAAAGTATATAGCAAAGCCATACTGTAAGCAACGGCCATCCTTTTCCGCACAATGTGGGCTGTATCAGGGTTCAGATGAAACTCTGTGAAGTATTAGTGTTCACTCACTGAGATTGCATGAAAGTTGTTAGCAGTGGACTCTTGACTTAGTTAATTGTTTTAAAAGACAAATGTTGAACCAGGCCAGTGGTATAGACCAGTATTCCCAAGTACTTGCAGACTAGAAGCATAGGAATTTGAAGTTAGCCTGAGCAACATATATAAAACGTTTCAAGGGAATGGGGCATGGCAAAATGACTGATCAGGTAAAAGGCACTTGCCTTTTAACCTTATAACCTTAGTTCAATCCCTGGGAACTACACACTGGAAGGAGAGAACTGAATATTTTAAGTAGTCCTCTGACCTCCACATGTACTACCCTATTCATACATACACACAGCTAAAAAAAAAAAATGAGACAACCCTCACTCAGCCTGTAGCCCCAGTTGACTTGGAACTCTATGCAGACCAGGCTACCCTAGAACTCATGGAGAACTGTCTGACTCTGCCTCCTGAATGCTGAGTTTAAAGACGTAAAAGTTAAAAAAAGAAAGAAGAAAAATTAAATTCCCAATTAAAAAAATAAAGTCCACAGGGGGGCTGGAGAGATGGCTCAGCAATTAAGAGCACTGGCTAATCTTCCAGATGACCTGGGTTTAATTTCCAGCACCCACTTGGCAGTTCACAATTCCTGTTCCAGGGATCTGACACCTTCACACAGACATACAAGCAAAACACCAATGCACAGAAAGTACAAGTAAATAATTTTTTAAAAGAATAACTCACCTTGGGGCTGGAGAGATGGCTCAGCGGTTAAGAGCATTGACTGCTCTTCCCGAGGACCCAGGTTCTATTCCAAGCACCCACATGGCAGCTCACAACTGTCTGAAAATCCAGTTCCAGGGGATCTGACACCTTCACACCAATACATATAAAATAAAGTTAAGTAAACCATAAAAATATTAAAAAAAAAAAAAGAATAACTCACCTTAACAAGTAGATAGAACTGGGCTTTCCTAAAAGCTGAATAAAGTCTGGTAGCTAAACCACAGTTAGCACCCCAGGCAATGGAATAGTTGAGTGAGCGTTCAGACCACCCAGTCAACAACCTCTCCTGTCAAAGTCCCACTCTGTGGCAGCTGCTCAAAGAAATGTGTTAGACCAGGAAGCTAGAGATGAACTAGCAAAAATCTTCCAAGACTTAAAAAAGGAGAAACTTGGAGCTGGTACTTACGTTGTTTTTTCCCTACAAGATGGAGTTTATTGAAAAATAAGTGATTCGGTGCCCTGAAAATGAACAATCACCAAATTATCACCTGCAAATGACTACTGGAAGACCTGAAAGTGGTCCTCTAGCCCTTTCTTTCAGGCCATCCCAGATAACCTAATGATACAGTTAGCTCTGACCAGCCAACCCTAAAATGTAGCTAGTATTTGAAGGCATCCTGGAAACCTACTTAACAGTATCTCTGGTAAGGTGTCTCTGGTGCCCTCTTCTGGCCTGCAGGCATACATGCTAGAGGAATACTATAAATATAAGAGATAAATAATTTTGTTTGTTTTCAAGACAGGGTTTCTCTGCATAGTCCTGGCTGTCCTGGAACTCACAGTGTAGACCAGGCTGGCCTTGAACTCACAGAGATCCACCTGCCTCCACCTCCCGAGTGCTGGGATTAAAGGCGTGCACCACTACCGCCCAGCAATAAATAAATACATCTTTTTTAAAAATTTTAAAAAATCTCTAAAATATTACTGATGTGCTATGGCTCTCACATTTGTCAGTCAGACCAGCAGGAACTTCCCTCACCCAGAGCTCAGCTTTAATATCATCCTCAGTCTGATCTCTTGCTCACAAACTGTGGCAGTAGTTTATAAGGTATTTTTAGAATATGATTGTTGTTTATAAGAAAAGTGGTTGTTGCAGTCACCTCTCTCCAGAGTATTCCTTTCAGCTCTTAAAATGTTATTAGAAATAGCACTTAGAAATTTTCTTGTAAAAAAAAGTTATTTCAATATAAAGTTTTAATGTCAACATAATAATTAAACTAGAAATTTACTTTTTTTCTCTTCTTTTTCTTTTTTTTTTTTTAAACAAATAACATCCCTTATTTGGGCTGGTCATGTAGAACTCTTGCTTAAATCCCCGGTTTCCATCTCCAGGATTGCAGAAAAACAGAATACTTATTTCCAAAGCATTCCATTCCCCACTACTTCTTACCACATCTTAAATATATATGCTTGCCCTGGAAGTCATCTGATACTTAGGCCCCAAATGATAATATGTGGTTAATTTGCCTTTTAATGTGCTGTGGTCTCAATATGTGTGCCCCTCTATGATTCATAGGTCAAAACTTAATGCCAGTAGGATCTTTTGGGAGGTGCTTAGGTCATAAAGGCTGTGCACTAAAAAAACTAACAGTTTTAGAGAGGGATCATAAAAATTGGTTTACTCTCTCTTCGTTCTTATGCTCCAGGTACCTAGAACCTTTCTGGTTCAGTGAACAGAAATGTAGCAGACACTGACGTCTTTGTTTGGGACTTCCTAGTTTCTAAAACTGGAAATTTTTCTATTCTTTAGAAATTTCTCAGTCTACAGTAGTATTGCTGTAGCAACCTAAACAGACTAATGTCTTCAACCAAAGTAGTATAGCATGTTACCTCCTTGAGAAAATTCCATAGTTGACAAAACAGGCAAATTTTTTGCAAGGTTCATCCTTCAGGAAGCTTCCCACAAGTCGAGCAGTCAGCTAAAATTCCTTTCAGGGATTGCAGGGGAAGGGAAGTGTTTCTCACTGCTTTTGAAACTGGAAACTCCATACCAAGAACCTAGGCTATCTTTAAGACTGTTGCTGAAGCATAAACAAAAACAACCCCCCCTCCCAAAAAAAGAGGAAGGCGTAGGTAGCTAGAGAAATGGCTCAGTGATTAAGAGCTGCTCTTCCAGATGACCCAGGTTCAATTCCCAGTACATACATGGCAGCTCACAGCTGTTTATAACTTCAGTTCCAGGGGATCCCAACACCCTCTTCTGGCCTCTGTAGGCACCAGACATACACGTGGTGCTAGAGAAATATATGCAAGTACAGATAAATAGAAAATACATTTAAAAAATTTAGAGCCATGTGGTGGTGGCACATGCCTTTAATCCCAGCACTTGGAAAGCAGAGGCAGGCAGATCTCTGTTGAGTTTGAAGCCAGCCTGGTCTATAAGAGCTAGTTCCAGGACAGACTCCAAACCCTTTAATCCCAGCACTGGGGAGGCAGAGGCAGGTGAATCTCTATGAGTTTGAGGCCAGCCTGGTCTGTAGAGTGAGTTCCAGGACAGGCTCCAAAGCTACAGCAATACCCTGTCTTGAAAACAAAAAAAATTTTTTTAGAAGAGGATAGGTTGAAGCTAAGTTACAAAGCTCACCTTTCAAGACTTCAGCCACATTTTCATATTTAACATTATATGGTTATTAAACTTTGGCTATATTCCAGAGTTTGATAAAGAATTTTTGGCTCTAGGCCAGTGAGATGTCCGAGTAGGTAATTGAGTTCTGTTCGTGTCCTACATGATGAAAGGAGAGAATCACAAGTTATCCTCTTACATACTTGTGCCTCTACACCTATAGCACATAAAAACACACTAAATGTAATAATATTGTTTTTAGATTTATTTATTTATTATGTATACACTGTTCTGCCTGCATTCCAGAAGAGGGCACCAGATCTCATTACAGATAGTTGTGAGCCACCATGTGGTTGCTGGGAAGAGCAGCCAGTGCTCTTAACCTCTGAGCTATCTCTCCAGCCACGTAATAATATTTTTTGATTTCGTGTGTGTGTTAGTATATGTGTTTGAGCCCATAGAGACCCAAAGAGGACACTAGACCTGGAGTTACAGGAACCTAGGTACTGTAGGAGCTGGATATCGAACTTGATTCTCTGAAAGAGCGACAAGCACTCTTAACCACTAAGCCATCTCTCTCCAGGACCCACCCCTTAATTTTTTTTTATTCTAACAGTTTTAACAAATTTTCTTGGTGCTTCTGAGAAGAAATGGCTGTTGACATATCCCTATATCACTGTTTTCACTAATTTAATTGGATAATTATTTTTCCAAAGATTTCTGTTACAGGGCTGGAGAGATGGCTCCATTGTTGTAATAGGAGCTCGGGGCTGCGTCCCCAGCACCCCGGCCGCCTGCTAGCTTATGCCCCGAAATAACAACACACAAACTGTATTCTTTTAAACACTGCTTGGTCCATTATATCTAGCCTCTTCTCGGCTAACTCTTGCACCTGGACTAGCCCATTTCTAATAATCTATGTAGCACCCCAAGGAATATTACCGGGAATATTCTAGCCTACGTCCATCCTGGGTCGGAGCTTCATTGCGTGTCTGGCTCTGAGAGGAGCTATGGAGTCTGTCTGAGGAGTCTTACCTCACTTCCTCTTCCTCCCAGCATTCTGTTCTGTTTACTCCTCCCACCTATGTTTTAACCTATCAGGGCCAAGCAGTTTCTTTATTGCTTAACCAATGAAATCAACAGATTGATATATGACACTCCCACATCAGCTCCATGGTTAAAAGAGCAGCAGTACTGGCTGCTCTTCTAGAGGTCCTGAGTTCAAGTCCCAGCAACCACATGGTGGCTCACAACCATCTGTAATGAGATCTGGTGCTCTCTTCTGGCCCTCAGGCATACATGCAAGCAGAACACTATACATAATAAAAAATAAAATCTTTTAAAAAAAATTTAAAAAAAGTTTTCTGTTCCAATGTATTGACTCTTACAGTGTTTAAACCAGCTTTATATCCAGAATCGTACTTGATTCTCAACATGACTATATAAGAAAAATGATGGTATTTTCTAAAAAGGTGAAATTACTTCCAAAGAAATGGATCAGAACAAAAACTTGGTACTCTTACCACTTGTATGTCAGTTTCAGTAGTTGGTAGTTGGTTTACAGCCAGTTGGAACATGTGTGCTTGAACTGACCTGCCTGCAATGATGAACAGCACAGGAAACATACAGTGAGACATGGTTGCTTCATTTTGATATAAACCCCCCACTTAGTGCTCAAAAAGTAAGATTTAGCTCCATTTTTACATCTCAGTATGCACCAACCAACCAAAGGTGTGAAGTTTTTTGTTTGCTTGTTGTTTGCTTCTCAAGGCAGGGTTTTTCTGTGTAACAGTTCTGGCTCTCCTGGGACTCACTCCATAGACCAGGCTGGCCTCGAACTCACAAATGTCTGCCTGCCTCTCTGCCTCCCAAGTGCTGGGATTAAAAGCAGTGTGCCACCACCAGCCAGCTGGGCTTTATTCTTTAAACTTGAAAGGATTTATAATTTTATGATGTTAACTCGGTACATTGTTGAATATAAATCTTATTTTTTTTCCTCAAACAAGATTTGAAGATAGATCTATTTGTAGCTTCCCTGGTGTAGAGCTGGTAGGCATATTTCACTTAGAAGACTATCTTGACAGCCATGTTCCTTGTCACTTTTGGGGAAGAATTGCCTTTAGCCCATTTAAGCAGTGGTCAAGTGTCCAGGTGTGGTGCTGCACACCTTTGTTCCTAGCACTTGGGAGCAGAGTCAGGAGAATCTCTGTTCTTTTAAAGACAGCCTGATCTATCTACATAGAGAGACCCTGTCTCAGTGATGAAGATGAAGAGGAGGAGGATCCAATAGCCACAGTAATGTTACTTCAACCACTAAGATAATAATTCCAGGACTGTGACCTACTGGACATTCTGTTCCTAGTATATTTGTTGTTTCCTTCATTGTAAACCTAATTAAATGTTTTAGCAGTTTTATTAGTAAAACAAGAAAAGTAATAGTTTAAATTTTTATATTGAGCTATACATTTTTCTCCATTTCCCTCCCTTCCTCTCCTCTTCCCTCTATCCTCCCCTGTGACCCCCACACTCCCAATTTACTCAGGAGATCTTATCTTTTTCTCCTTTTTGTGTAGATCCATATATGTCTCTTAGGGTCCTCTTTGTTTTCTAGGTTCTCTGGGATTGTGAATTATAAGCTGTTTTTTCTTTGCTTTATGTCTAAAAGCCACTTAGGAGTGAGTACATATTATATTTGCCTTAAATTTTTAAAAGGAAAAAGAGCCAGAGTTTTTAAAAAAGAAACACTGTATGGAGAAAATCCAAGAGATAATCTGATAAACTATTACAATTAGTAAGTGAAAATACCAATATACTTTATTCCCATATGCCATCAAGAAGGAATTTGAAGATTGCACCACTTAAATATTCAATACCTAGGAATCCTTCATGATGTGTAAAGAGCCAGGTGTGGTGGTGCAGGTCCTTAATCCCAGCATTCGAGGAGGCAGAGACGCAGGATCACTGAAAGTTCCTGGCCAGCACGGACTGCACCGTCTTATAATTCATCAATTATAAAGCAAAAATAAAAGACACATACACAGACCACTATAAGAAATTTAATGGTAAATAATGCCTATAAGTTCTCATGGAACGTATGGGAGAGGACATTTTAAACGCATGCCTTAAATGTACATGTGTTCTCTCAACTAACAAACAGGTATTGCTTGACCAGTATTTGGGGAGAGAGGGACTGGAGACAGAAAATTGAATTTACCTTACTGGTCACACATGTATTAGGTCAGATAGTAGATAAACAAATGCATTAAAATATTTTGTTGAAGCTACTTAACATGAGGACTTGTAGTTAAACATACATGCTTCATCCATCTCTAGGAGCAAGAATGCATGAAACCATAAGAGCAAAAAGGTGGTGGAAAAATTACAAGAAAACTTTATATTAAAAAAATAATAACCTAATATGGGTTAGCATACCAGAGAAAGCTGATACCTAATTCCCCTACAAGCAAACCCAGTAGAGAACTCTAGAAGTGACAGGCATATTCAACAACAGGAATTTGTTACTGTATTGTTTTCCTTGTTATTGACTTGTAAGAGATTTTTAATATATTGTAAAAACAAATTCTTTGCCAATTACCTGGCTCATGAATATTTCCTCTTGGAGGAAGACTAATCTTTTTATTTTCTTTCTTTTTTTTAAAATGTATTTATTATGTATATAATATTTGTCTACATGTATTCCTGCAGGCCAGAAGAGGGCACCAGACCTCATTACAGATGGCTGTGAGCCACCATGTGGTTGCTGGGAATTGAACTCAGGACCTTTGGAAGAGCAGGCAATGCTCTTAACCACTGAGCCATCTCTCCAGCCCCTCTTTTTATTTTCTTAATTTTGTCTTTTGAAAAGCAGAGGAAATCTTTTATTTTGCTGAGGCCCAGTATATATATTTACATATATAATATATGTATATATTTATGTATACATATATATTACATGTATATTTCCTTTTCCTTTTTTGGTTCTGTATGGTACTTTAATCTCTATATGTCTCAAGGTTGTATAAATTTTGTCTTGTTTTCTGTGAGAAGTTTTTATTTTACTTCATAGGTATTAAAATGTATCTATTACAGTAGCCACTAGCTACATGTAACTCTCAAGCACTTAAAATGTGGCTTGTCTGGTTAAGTTTTATTATATATACTACAATTACAAAATATATGAAAGAGAATAATGATAACTATGTTAATCTTTATATATAATAAAATGCTGATATTTGGATATATGGAGCAAAACAATATATTGATAAAGATGTTATGCAAATTACAAAAGACCCAATTAATGAAAATGATCTGTTACATTATAAAGGAAGAGCTCACTATTTTAAGGATATCCATTCTCCCAAAACTAATCTATAAATTCATTGTAATTCCTATCAAGATCTTTTTGTTGTTGTTGTTGTTTGTTTTTTGAGACAGGGTTTCTTTGTGTAACAGCCCTAGCTGTCCTGGAACTAGTTCTTGTAGACCAATCTAGCCTTGAACTCACAGAGATTCGCCTGCCTCTCCCTCCCAAGTGCTGGGATTAAAGGCATGTGCCACCACCTCCCGGTTCAAGATCTTTTTTTAATGTGTATAGACATTTTGTCTGCACATATGTCTGCATGCTGTATACATGCCTCGTGCCCATGGAGGCCAAAAGAGGGCATCATTAGATGCTCTGGAACTGGAGTTATATACAGTTGTTATATAAACTGTAAACCGTTATAGGTACTAGGAATTAAATTCTGGTCTACTTGAGGAGTAGCCAGTGAGCTGCTGAACCATCTCTCCACCTCCCAAATCCAACAGCTTTTAGAGAAAAATTGTATTATTAGGTGACATCAAGGCTGTGTTTCACCTGTGGTTAGGGACCCTAGTAGGAACCCAAGCCAAAGCACTTAGATACATTTATTTCAGGGCTTCCGATCACTTGACTTTTGTTTTGAAATGGGAGTCTTGTTGCCCAGGCTGACCTGGAACCCAGTATGTGTCTGAGAAGGACCTTCAACTCCGACACTCCTGCTTCCACCTCTGCAACACTGTGGGTTGCAGGCATAGTTAACCATGCTTGGTCCTGCATGCTAGGCAAGCACTCAGCCAGATGAACCACATCCCTATCTCCCTTAGCTATGAAGAGAACTTTTTAAAATCATTTTTGCATCTCTGTTTTTTCTTCTCTAAAACATAAAGAATGGCTGTTCTAACTAAAAGTCTATTGAGTTTGGTAAATAAATGCCATGTATTTCTAAGGCAGTGATAGCGCTCTTGAACTTCTAAATGTTTCTGACCTGCTGGGTGATGGTGGTGCACGCCTTTAATGGCAACACTCGGGAGGCAGAGGCAGGCAGATCTCTGTGAGTTCGAGGCCAGCCTGGTCTACAAGAGCTAGTTCCAAGACAGGCTCCAAAGCTACAGAGGAACCCTGTCTCAAAAAAAAAAAAAAAATACATAAATAAATGTTTCTGACCTGTTTTAAATGTATGTATACAATGAGTTGTTGGCTGTGAGCATTTTTAGTATGTTCAGTAATAAAAACAGGGTTGTTCTTGTCACTTTTGATTGGATTTTTTTTTTCAAATATTTATTATGTATACAATATTCTGTTTGTGTGTATGCCTCCAGGCCAGAAGAGGGCACCAGACCTCATTACAAATGGTTGTCAGCCACCATGTGGTTGCTGGGAATTGAACTCAGGACCTTTGGAAGAGCAGGCAATGCTCTTAACTGCTGAGCCATTTCCTCCTTGCTCCTCCCTGCCTAGGAATCTATTCCACTCAATCATATGAATTTTGTATGTTCTGTATTATACATAAGCGGGACAGTGGATATTTTGTCTTTTTCTTGGTATATTTCATGTAACATAATGTTTTCAAGATTGGTCCATGTTGCGTGCATCAGAATTTCATTTCCTTGTAAGTCTGAGTAATGCCCCATAACAGATATGCATGATGCTTTGTTATCCATTTATCTGTTAGCCAACTTAGTTTTTTTCTACATTGTAGCTACTATTAATAATGTTGCTGTACATGCTGTAAGAATCATTGCCATACAGTTGTTTGATCCTTCAGTTCTTTGGGCTAGACACCCAAAAGCAGCATTTCATGCGGTAATTATGTTTAATTTTTAAAAAATAGTTCTATTTATTCTTTGACAGTTTCATGCATGTATACAAACTTGATCATATCCACCCCCAAATCCTCCTCCAGTTCCCTATGTTAAGACTACTTTCCATAGCAGCTGCATCAGTTTATTCTCTCCAGTTTCTTACTTGCCATTGTTCCTTTTTCCTCTTAGAAGTCATATTCATGGATATGAAGTGGTACATTGTAGTTTTGATTTGCATCTCCCTAATGATTAATGATGCTAGCGATCATTTTCCTGCACCTACTACAATCTTAAATCTTTGGGGAAATGTCTTTTAATGACTTTTTTTCTGTTTTTAATAGAATCTTATAAGTGTTAAATTGTGGACTTTTAAAAAATATTCTGGGTATTAGATACTTAACTAGATACATAATTTGAAATTTTTTTTCTTCTGTAGGTTGTCTTTTCACTTTTCCAGTAGGATCCTATGGAGTTCAAGAGTTTTTAATTTTGATGGTCTACATTTTAAATTTTTTCATTATTTACTTATGCATATGTTTGTATGTCTCTATGTCCTCAAGGTGGTCAGAAAGGTGTTGGCTCCCCAAAGTGGGAGTTCCAGGGAGTAATGAGCTGTCTGTTGTGGGTGCTGGGAGTTGAACTCAGTCCTCTTTAAAAACTATAAATGCTCTTACCCACTGAGGCATTTCTCCAGCCCTGAAGTCTGACCGTTGTCCTCTGTGCTGTTATGTGTCCCTCCAATGTCTGTTCTAAGAAACCACTGTTTAATCAGATGATGGAGATCACACCTTAGGTTTTCCTCTGAACCTTATTCTGTAGCTCTTCCATGTAGGCATTTAATCCATTCTGAGTTGACTTAATGTGTGGAATGTGGTGGGGATTGACTTCTTTCATGTAGAAATTTAGTTGTCCAGTTGTACAGGTTTTATGTCTAGGCTTTCAGTTTCATTCTATTCATCTGTATATATCTTTTATGCCATTTATATCCTTTTGATTTATTTAACTGTGAACCAAAACATAAAAATATAAAATTTGGAACTGGGGAAACAGCTCGGTTTGCCTTGCAAGTTTAAAGACCTGAGTTTAGTCTCCCAAACCTCATTTCATAAAGCCAGATTTGGTCGTGTGCACTTGTCACCCAGCACGGGAGAGGCGGAGACGGCCTGGGGCTCACTAGCTGGTCAGCCTAGCCTATTAACCATGACAGCGCCTACTCATTCAATCTATCTCCAATTTACTCTTTCAGGAAAATGTGCTGTGTTGTCATTCAAGGACTTCCTCTCCTGCAGGCCAACTGAAATACCAGAAAATGACATTCTGCTTTGTGAGAGTCGCTATAATGAGAGTGACAAGCAGATGAAGAAATTCAAGGGGTTGAAGAGGTTTTCACTCTCTGCTAAAGTTGTAGATGATGAAATTTACTACTTCAGGTAAAGCTTCTAAAACTAAGGGAGAAAGAACACTTGGGCTAAATTATCAAAATAGTGTAGCCCAATGTTTTTTTTTTTCTTTTTTTTTTTTTTTTCTTTTTTTTTTCGAGACAGGGTCTCTCTGTAGCTTTGGAGCCTGTCCTGGAACTCCCTTTGTAGACCAGGCTGGACTCGAACTCACAGAGATCCGCCTGCCTCTGCCTCCCGAGTGCTGGGATTAAAGGCGTGCGCCACCACCGCCCGGCTAGCCCAATGTTTTGAGTTATTATTAGGTCTTGAACTATCATTACATAATTCCAGTTGAAAATGTTAATTTAGTGAAACGTGGTAATTCCCATACTTGGGAGGCTGAGACAGGAGGATTGTATAAGTTTGAATCAGCCTGGGCTACAAAGTGAGACTTAGTTGCAGAGAGAGAAGGAAAATATTCAATTAAAAAATTATTGGACAGTTCTTCTAATAGTACCTTGGCTAAGACACGAGCGACTGTATAATGAAGACACTTGGTTCTGGTTGGCAGCCTCTCTGTGGGGGCATTGCTCATTTCCATAGGTTATGACAATTCCCTTTTAACATATAGTCCATTAGACCTGACCTGTGCTCTGTGAGTATTCTTCAGAATTATTTCTAAGTAGAAGTGATATCACAAATACTCATTTAAGCTACTTTGTTGCCCTTAGTCTCTAAGGCTTAGAGTGACTGTGGAAGGTTGTAAAATGTCATTTGTAGATGTTCAAATCTGCTCTCTGACAACTTGGAAGTGATCAGCAACTTACATCTACTTACTCATTTATTTATTATTTATTTATTTATTAAAGATTTCTGTCTCTTCCCCACCGCCGCCTCCCCTTTCCCTCCCCCTCCCCCTGTCAAGTCCCCCTCCCTCGTCAGCCCAAAGAGCAATCAGGGTTCCCTGCCCTGTGGGAAGTCCAAGGACCACCCACCTCCATCCAGGTCTAGTAAGGTGAGCATCCACGAAACTGCCTAGTCTCCCACGAAACCAATAGGTACAGATGTACTCACTCATATTTGGTTTCTAGCCATAAATAAAGGACATTGAGCATATAATTGGGGTCTTAGAGAAGCTAAATAAGAAGGAGAACCCAAAGAAAATCATATAGGCATCCTCCTGAATATTAACCTTCATCAGGCAATGAAAGGAGACAGAGACAGAGACCCACAATGGAGCACCGGACTGAAATCTCAAGGTCCAAATCAGGAGCAGAAGGAGAGAGAGCACGAGCAAGGAACTCAGGACCGCGAGGGGGGCACCCATACACTGAGACAATGGGGATGTTCTATCGGGAACTCACCAAGGCCAGCTGGCCTGGGGTCTGAAAAAGCCTGGGTTAAAACCGGTCTCGCTGAACATAGTGGACAATGAGGACTACTGAGACCTCAAGAACAATGGCAATGGGTTTTTGATCATTTATTTATTTTTGACACTGTTTTCAGAAAACCAATCATTCCTCAGAAAGAACCCTCACCTTTGTTGGAAAAGAAGATACAATTGCTAGAAGCTAAGTTTGCTGAGTTAGAAGGTGGAGATGATGATATTGAAGAGATGGGAGAAGAGGATAGTGAGGTCATTGAACCTCCATCTCTACCTCAGCTTCAGACTCCCCTGGCCAGTGAGCTGGACCTCATGCCCTACACACCCCCACAGGTAAGGTGACATGCCCGTTACCTGCCTTGTTCTCAGCTCTGGTCTGCAGCAGGTTCAGACATGACAGCCCCTGTGTATTCAGCCTTTGTTTTGTTTGAGATGATGTCGGTAACCTAGGCTGGCCTCAGACTTGTGTATTCAAGGTGTGCTTGAACTCTTGCTTTTCTTGCCTTCATTTCCCAGGCACTGGAAGTATAGGCATACACTGCCACGCACTTTTAATATGTGAACTTTTGCCTAGAAATCTGCAAAAAGGAATAATAGTGTTTTTTTGTTTTTTGTTTTATTTATTTATTTTAATGATGGTGTTTTATTTGCTTGTCAGAGCCTTTATTTACTAATTTATTTTTAATTGACAAAAATACATATCACATCATCAAGCCAATAATAATTACTCTTTTAAATTTCATAGAGATGGTTTAATAGCAGTTTAATTGAAGGCTTCTTGCCTTGTAGTGAAGAAAAGAAATAAAGAATGGTATTATGCTCTTAACTCCCTTAATTTTCAGTGGCCATATATGTGATCCTTCTGCCTCCATTTCCACCTCCTAAGTAATGAGATTATAGATGTATTCTGCCATACCTGGATACCTGTGTCTTTTAATTTCCCCCTTTTTATGGTTGAGGTGATTCCTATTGTATTTATTTTCCTCATTCAGAATTTTCTCAAGACTTAATTGTGAGGTCACCATTGTAGATTGCAGTCATGGAATTCAATGAAATTTTCACTTGTTTTTGTACAAGGCAAGAAAGCAGTATATTTTGACCAAGAAAATGTGAGCTACAAACTGAGTATGTCTATAAAACATTTATTATTGAACCTTATGTGTCTGGCTTCTAGAAACTATGTAGCTAACTTGGTGCAATCTTCTGATACCCTATGTAAGCTTTCTGTCTTACAGTCTACCCCAAAGTCTGCCAAAGGCAGTGCAAAGAAGGAAGGTTCTAAACGGAAAATCAACATGAGTGGCTACATTCTGTTCAGCAGTGAAATGAGAGCTGTGATTAAAGCCCAACACCCAGACTACTCTTTCGGGGAGCTCAGCAGACTGGTGGGGACAGAGTGGAGAAACCTTGAGACAGCCAAGAAAGCAGAATATGAAGGTAAATAGAGACCAGGCACAACTGTCCCCACTTTCTAAGAAGAAAGGAGTGTTTTCCAGGAATGCACATGCATAGGCAGATTTTACTCTCTTGTTCTTACCACATGCACATGAATTTGGTGTTTTGGACTGTTCCAGCTGACAGAAGTATACCGGCAGTCGATGCCAGTACACGGAGTGTTGCCTCTAACTTGGCCTCAGATCCCGGTGGTGGTGTTGCCACAAATTTCTCAAAAAAAAAAATGGTATTAAAAATTGCACGATTTTATTTCATTTATCCCTGTAGGCACACACATTGAGCAGGGGAGTGACTGTTCAATAATGTTAACTTTAATTTTGATTAAAATTCACCTGCAAGTGGCCTTTTAAAATAAGTGTCTTCTGTTATGTCTTTTAACAGCCAAAAGCTGTAAGTTAAACTCTAGGCTCAGACTTGGTGTGCCTGGTGCTGTGTCTATGTTCATACCTAATACCAAGACACTTGGATGCTTTTGACAAAGCTCAGCTGTCTTCATTTCCCCTTTACTCTGCAATTAGATCACTTTGAGCCATGAACTATTAGTACTCAAATATTTGGTGGTTCATAGCCATAAATTCTTAAGAGATTTGTGGTGGTTTAGATCTTTTGTTGTTATAGTTAATATTGGATATGACTTTAATGAATGAGAGAAAGCAATACATTAGTTAGGCAGGCCTTTTAACCTTTGAGTTGTAGTTTTTCCATTTTAAATATTGTATGTAGATAATGTTCCAATAAAAAGTCTCCTTCCCCACAGTGGTCAGTACACTTCTTGACTAAGTCCAGATCCCTTATTTTCCAGCAAGCGTACATTATGAAGGCTGCTTTTTTTACTAAAGTTTATGAAATCTCCAAAACAACTCTTTTGTTAAAAAAAAAAAAGTTATATTCCTATTACTATTTATTCTTATAAAATTATCTGACAGTCTTCCTTACGGAACTTCTAGTGAAGCCTAACCCTGCAAGATGCTCTGCCAAAAAATATTTTGTGGCAAAACCTGTTTCAGAAGCATTCCAAATTCTAGGCATAGTCCTGAGTTAGTCTCCTAGATTAATAGATTAATAATAAAGAACCTTTTTATTATTTGTCATCCATCTTCTGAAGTATGACCAGGTATTTATGTGGTATCTAGGAATACCCTGGAAAGTTAATTTATGAAACATTCTTTGAGAAACTCTAAGTCAGTCCCATAAGAACTTGTAATTCTGGAACACTTTGATATTTCAGGGCTTACTGCAAGTTACGACCAAATATACCACCTAGTTGGAGGACTGCTGTCTAAGAAATTAGGCTAATGTAGTGTAAAGCCCGTTTCAAGGCAGACGGCTAGTATTGTGTGGTATGGATGGGAGAAAGGGATCTAGAGATAATGTGAAGACAGAAAAGCTGGAGCCCGGCCAAGGGAAGAATAAATGATAGTTGAGAAATTCGCTCATGCAGTGGGGTGTCTGGAATTAGGAAGGACCTAGTGAGATGGGAGTTGCATGGTTCAGTAGCCTGAAATTCAAACTCTGAACTTTGGGTTTCTCTGCCCACTAAATTCAAAACCCAAAGTTGGGAGTTTGGCTGGCATAGTTTTAGTAATTCTGACTTACAGAGCTTCCCAGTTCAGCTTCTCTCAGGAAGAACTAATATTTGATCCACACGCCTGAACTTTTCTGTTTTTGCAAACTTCAATTTTTCTCAATTTTTCTTTTTCCCTCCCAGTTTTACTGTTTCATTTATGTCAGTTTGGATTTAATATTGGTGCATCTAGATCACCAATAGTTTTTTTTTTAAGTACTATCTTGGGAAGACAGGCTGTGAGGATGGGTTTGGCCTTCACACTTGTTGTGCTCAGATTACAGAGGATGTTAGAATGGGTAGTGCTAGTGAGTGATGACAGGTGTCCACACCAGCTCCATCACAGCCTTGGGGACCTTTGACTTGCACATTTCTCACATCCTCCCATAAAGGAGTGGAGCTGTTGGTTCTTGAGTCTCTTTAAAGCCGCATGACCTCAAGCTGTTTCCCCCAGATAGCTCTAGTCTTTTGAATTCCATGTTGGAGAGTTAACTGTGAAAGTTGAAATGTGACACCAGGTGTCAGGGCCATAAGTTGCTGTTTCTCCTGTATTCTTGGACAAGTCACTGCCTGTATCCCAGCTTCTGTTTGCACATCTGAAGAGTGGGAAGGACTTCCTACTTAGCTAAATAAACCCTGTGTGGTGGGAACTTTGGGAATATGCCCTCAAAGAAGGTCTGGCCTGCTAGAAGTGTGACTGTTGAAGGTACTGGCTCTAGAGGTGCAGAGTAGCTTAAGGAAGTGAGGATCTATTGGCTAATAGCCCAGAGGTCCCAAAAATATGTGCTCCTCTTGCATTTCAGGTACACTAAGTGCAGATGCTGGAATTCTTGCTGATTTAGGGTAATTTATGATCAGTTTTGAACTCAGCTTAAGTGAACCTGGTTCTTTGAGAATTTTGTCCATTGCTATATACATGTATGTATTAGTTCCCCGCTTCTGATGACTGTAGTCTAGCTGATCATGTATTTCCTCCCTTGGAGTCTGTTAATCATGACCTCTTCCTTTGCCTCATTAGAGTGTAGAAACTGGCTGTTCACGTTTCCTAAGATCTTAAACTAGAGGGAGTAAGCTACTTTTCCCTTACAGAGTTAATTTTCTTCAGCTGCTAAACTTGTGATATTATTGATGAGTCCTCAAATTTTAGTAAAATTGGATACAAGAAATCAGGAAATTAGAGTAAGTACAATTGTGCCAAAAATTATAATGGGCCATGGAATTGCTTCATGTTGAAATTATAATCTTTAATGCTATTAATACTAGAATAATGATAGCGCTTCTCATCTTCAGAGTGCCTCGTGAGATTACCCACGGTGGTTACGCTGGCGATGTGTTTTGATAAAACCTGTGCTTTCTGAATGTGTGTTCAGTCTTAACACTCTTGAAATCTTTGCAGACCAGTTCTCAAGATGGGATAGGAAAGCTGAATTCTAGGTTATCAAGTGAAATCGGCCCGACTCCTGTGTTGAGACTAGTCATCTACCGTTCCTTCCATTGAGACAGAACTGTTGCCTGTGTTTTTACTAGTCCTGTTGAATGCAATGGATGGTATTTTGAATTCCTGGGTTAAAAACAGAATTGAAAATCTGAAATGCCTTTACAGAGCGGGCAGCTAAAGTTGCTGAGCAGCAGGAGAGAGAGCGAGCAGCACAGCAACAGCAGCCGAGTGCTTCTCCCCGAGCAGGCACCCCTGTGGGGGCTCTCATGGGGGTGGTGCCACCACCAACACCAATGGGGATGCTCAATCAGCAGTTGACACCTGTTGCAGGTAAAAACAGGAGCTAAGACCATTTTTTTCCACTTTAAGAAATTCCTTCATTTTTTTTTTCTCCAAAAGGAGTAGGCCACAGTCTGTAGCCTTTTCTCATGACAGATTCAAAGTTTCAAGTCATCCATGTTGTCCTGTATTGCTTTTCCCATACAGGCAATGCCTCTTCTCTATCCCAAAGTGGGCCATGGGCCCAGCCCTGGCAAGTGGTAGGTAGCAGCTCTTCCCTTACTGTAGGCATGGTCTGGCAATGTTCTTACCCCAGGCTGCTCTTGACAGAGCACTCCAGCAGGAAATATAAACAGACCTTGAGTTCTGTTCTGAAGAACTCCAAGGAAAACATAAAAGCAGTCTTTAGGTGGTGTTGATGTTCTGTCTCATGCCAGTTCAGTTTGCCTTATTCTGCTGCAGCCATCCTTAAAAGACTGACCACTTAAAAGGATTTTTGACAATGAATTATTAAATCCTTTCTTGGTCACCAATGTGCATGACTGCTTAGTAGGGGGGAAGTCCTCATTCAATTCATTGTGCCCACTCTGTAATGCTTTTCTATTTAATTACATTAAACTGCATTTTCTGTTAGTATCCCAGTCACATATTTAAATAAAGACAATAAGATGAAAGAAAGAGAGAGAGAGAAAGAAAAAAGAAAGAAAGAATAGGAAAAAAAAAGTTAAAGAAAATGATGAATGTGGTTTGCTTGTGTGTGTTGTCTCTGGTTCTGGTAGCCATAGCAAATTTGACTACTGTTGAATTGAAATCTTGTCTGACATGTCTCCACGAAGAGCCTGCAGACCACCTCTCAGGCCTTCCTTTGTTACTTCTTCCTGTCTGGTGAGCTCTGCATATGCCACCTGTATTTCCTCTTAAACAATAGTCTGACCTCTTTTGCACTTAGTCCAAGACAGTGTTGTTTAAGGCAGCTTTGTTGGGATACTGTTTTTGTTTTTGCTGTTTTTTGTTCTTGCCGTTTTCGTTTTTTGCCTTTTTCGTTTTTGCTTTTAGAGGAAGCGTGCATAGGATAACTTTTCCCTTGTTGCTCCTAACTTTTGTGATGGCAAGTTCTCAGATGCACTGTCGCTGAACTCAGCAGTTGCACTCACCAAAGCACGTCTGAATCATGGCTGTCGGTGCTTTCAGTGTGACTTATGTTGATCTAACAAATCTCATAATCGCCTGCTCTATTCCATGGCCCATTTTGGTTAATGGGGTTCCAGAGGTTTTCAGAAATCGGTCTTGATCACGGGGACTTTGAAAGTTAGGATTCCCTCATTGACATCCTCTTTTGTTCTATTTGATGTATAAATCTGTGGCACTATGTCCTTGACGACAAAACCCAAGAACATAATAACAAAATGAATACAAATAGCTAAAAAGAAACAAAAATTAGCAGCTGCAGCAATTTTAGCTCCCTGTTGGGGAATAGCATCATATAGCTCTGTGGTTGAGGAAGATGGTCCCTCTAAAAGACCACTGCTCTATTACTAAAGGTGTGCTGCCCAGGCTTCTGGGCCACAGGAGTGAAGGACAGAATCTCTACAATAAAGAGCCTTTGTCCACAGTGAGAGCTTTGCAGCTAAGAGGGTGATTTTTCCATGGAATATAGGTTGCTTAGGGCCTGAGTCTTAGCCTTCTTGTTGTCTGAGACCAGCTTTGCTTACAAGCATCGAAGCTCATTTGAACACATGTGACTGGGATAATAAATGCCAAAGTACAGTTTAATGAAGACAAGTGTTGTGTCTTTCAGTTCTTAATAACTTAATCTTCAACCACAGCCTATGGCGGCTGCGTTCAGATGGGCTTTTGTAATTGAAAGCAAAGCCTCCTAACATTGTTCAATTTCTCACCTACTTATCCTTCAAAGCTGTACCTGGTGGT